CCACTGCACTCCAGTCTGGGTGACAGAGTGAGACTCCAACTCAAAAAAAAAAAATAGTATTTACAGGGTCACATCGTTTCAAAGCAAAAAAATGGATCCTCTCTGTTAGCATTTAATGATGCTAAGGGTTTTTAAAAATATAAGAAATTGGTCCTAACCCTTTAAGTGTGTTATGGGATGCCTACAAGCATGTGGGCTCATGTGTGTGCATTTACATATATGTGTGACACACACACACACACACATCCCTACCTAGAATACAGTTCTGGAGCACGAGGTCTGAGTGAGCACATGGGAGTGAGTGGGGAAGATTCTCCACCATCAGAGTCTGTGTACTTCATCGGGTCAGGCCTCCCCAAGAAGGCAGTTGCAGAAGTTGTGTGGCATCTGAGCAAGGGTCCTCCCTGTTCCCCCAAAAAGGAAATGAGAAGGAAGCCACTGTACCATCCCTGGGTCTGCTTGGGGTGCCCAATTTGAGGAGGGGGATATTGGGGCACTTCAGACCAAGGGCTTACTGCAGGATGCCTCCCTCCTACTTCCTCCCAGCTGAGGTGACTTTTTTTTTTTCCAGGGGCTGATGGTGGCCATCCTGTACTGCTTTGTCAACAATGAGGTAAGTGAGGACTGAGGAGGGATCCTGGGGACCCTGGAGGGCTGCTACCATTGGCCAGTCTGAAGTTGTGCACTGAGGACTCCCATCAGCCTTTTCGGCTGAAACCCCCTGCTCACCCCACTGGGCACTAGAGTTGAGGAGGCATCTTGTTCAAAGATTCTGTTTCTGTGCCGGGGTCTCCCCTTGCCTCCCCTTCCTCTCTGTTTTTCTCTCTTTCTGTCTCTCCCTCTTTCTCTGACTCTATCTCTCCCTCTCTCCCTCCCCCCATCTCTCCCTGTCTCTCTTTGTCTCTTCTCTTTCTGTCTCTCCCCCATTCTGTCTTGTTCTGTCTCTTTCTGTTTCTCTCTCTCTTCCCCACCCCGTCTCTCTTTCTGTCTCTATCTCTCTTTCTGCCTCTGTCTCTCTCTCTCTTTCTGTCTCTCTGTCTGTCTCTGTCTCTCTCTTCTCTCTGTCTCTGTATCTCTCTCTCTGTCTTTCTGCCTCTCTCTTTTTGTCTCTGTCTCTCCCTCTCTGTCTCTCTCTTTCTGTCTCTATCTCTGTCTCTCTCTTTCTGTCTCTCTGTCTGTCTCTGTCTCTCTCTCTCTCTGTATCTCTCTCTGTCTTTCTGCCTCTCTCTTTTTATCTCTGTCTCTTCCTCTCTCTCTCTTTCTGTCTCTCTCTCTGTCTCTGACTCTCTTTCTGTCTCTCTGTCTCTGTCTCTCTCTGTCTCTCTGTCTGTCTCTGTATCTCTGTCTTTCTGCCTCTCTCTTTTTGTCTCTGTCTCCCCCTCTCTCTCTTTCTGTCTCTCTGTCTCTGTCTCTCTCTTTCTGTCTCTCTCTCTCTTTCTGTCTCTCTTTTTTTTTTTTTTTTTTTTGAGTTGGAGTCTCACTCTGTCGTCCAGACTGGAGTGCAGTGGCCGCTCCCGGCCACCGCAGCCTCGCCTGCTGGGCTTCGGCGATCCTTCCGCCTCAGCCTTCCGAGTAGCTGAAATTACAGGCGTGCGCTACCACACCCGGCTGATTTTTTGATTTATTGTAGAAATGAAGTCTTGCTGCCCAACCGGGTCTCAAACCTGCGGGCTCAGGCAATCCACTCACCTCAGCCTCCCAAAGGTGCGGGATTACAGGCTGAGCCACCGAGCCCGGCTGCCTCTCTCTTTTTGTCTCTTTCTTTCTGTTCTCTCGTTTGCTTTCTCTCTGTCTCTCCCTCTTTGTCTCTCTTTCTCTTTCTGTCTCTTTCTATCTTTCTGCCTCTCTCTCTCTGTCTCTCTTTCTGTCTTTCTCTTTCTTTCTCTCTCTCTCTGTCTCTCTCTATCCCTCTTTCTGTCTTTCTCCGTTTACCTCTCTTTGTTTCTCTCTCTCTTTCTTTCTGTCTCTCCCTCTCTCTCTTTCTCTTTCTGTATCTTCCTTTTGCTCTTTCTGTCTCTCTGTGTCTCTCTCTGTGTATGTGTTTCTCTGTTTCTGTCTCTCCCTCTTTCTGTCTCTCTCTTTCTATCTCTCCCGTCTCTCTCTCTCCCTCCCCCTCTGTGTGTATGTGTGTGTATGTTTCTGTCTCTCCCTCTTCCTCTTTCTGTCTTTCTCTCTCTTTCTGTCTCTCTCTCTGTCTCCCTCTTTCTGATTCTCCCTCTCTCTCTCTTTCTGTCTCTCCCTCTCTTTCTCTTTCTGTCTCTCCCCTTTGCTCTTTCTGTCTCTCTGTGTCTCTCTCTCTCTCTGTTTCTGACTCCCCATCTTTCTGTCTCTCCCCCCACCCTGTCTCGTCTCTCTCTCTGTCCCTCCCTCTCTCCTTTTCTCTCTGTCTCTCTCTCTCTGTTTCTGTCTCTCCCTCTCCCTCTTTCTGTCTTGCTCTCTCTTTCCATCACTCTCTTTCTCCTCTCTCTCTCTGTCTTTCTGTTTTTTCTCTCCCTCTCCCTCTTTCTGATTCTCTCCCTTTCTGTCTCTCTTTTTATATCTCTCTCTCTCTTTCTCTTTCTGTCTCTCTCTTTATCTCTCTTTCTGTCTCTTTCTGACTCTCTTTTTCTGTCTCTCTGTCTCTGTCTCTCTCTTTCTGCCTCTACCTCCTACTCTCTTTCTCACTCTGTCTCTCTCTTTCTCTGTCTCTCTCTGTCTCTCTATTCCTCTCTCTCTCTCTCTCTCTCTCTCTCACACACACACACACACACACACACACACACACACACACACACACCCTACACTTGTGCAGGCATACCCTAATGGTATGTGAGCTTGGATAAGACCTAGCTTCATGTTAAGGAGGTCCTGAGTGAATTACTGGAGTGGTGGTGACTGTCACAAAGTGATTCAACACACACACGCCCAAGCCTTATACTTGGGGCTTTGATAATCACTATCTCATTTAATCATCTGCCCCTCCCCCAAAAAAAGCCCTGCTAAAATTCTGATTTCAGTATTCCCATGTTTCTTACATGAGAACACTGACGATCAAGAGTCGTAAGGAACCTGTCCCAAGTTTGAAACAGTGACAGAGCCAGGATCCAAATTAATTCTAACTTCGAGAAGAAAGCACCTATTCTTTGTGTATATAGGCAAGATGAATTCCTCTGGTGCCTTTCTGTTGCTGGCATGGGAGGGGAGGGTGGTTCTTGCTGACACCGTGCCTTCTTCTGCAGACTCCTGTGGGATTGAAGTCTCCTTCCCCTCCCTGAAATGGTCAGCTTTTGGGATGAAGGGATGTCTGTGTTTATCAGCACCTGGGAAAGGACCCTTCCTCTGAGGTCCCCAACTTTGTTTTGTATATCACAAATGCCACAGTACCCCCTTCCCCCACGTTCCTTCTAGAGAGGAAAAATGAATAATAGTTGTAGAGGCAGCACCAGGGCCCCCTGGGGAAGTGCCCACAAGAGGATTAATCCCCAGCAGGGAGGAGTGTTTCTGCAAACCCCTATGCCACAGTCTGGGAGGAATCTGAGGACTGTAACTTCATTCAAGCCTGGGTGAAGGTTTGTACCAGTGGGGCTGAGGCTCAGGTGACCCAGGGACATGTGTCCTCAAAGGCCCAGGGCTCTTAGTGTGGCTTCTGTGTCACTGAGGCTGGAATCTCAGAGCACAGAGAGATTTTAGAGTCCACATATTATGTAGACTTGTCTTTTCCTATGGGTGTTGGGGACGTGGAGGGGACAGTGTGTGGGGATTTGGGCATTTTAAGGAGCTGTGAGATGGCTCAAAGAAGCAATATGATGCAGCAGAAAAGGTGGGCTTCAGAGTTCTGTTCTGGTCTGGGCCCCATCACTTAAAGGGCTGTGTGACTTTGGGCAAGTTATGTGCCTACTCTGAACCTCAATTTCCTCATCTACAAAATGGGGTTTTTAATGCCTACCTATGTGATTCCTGTGAGGAGTAGGTGAGGTAAAGTCTGAAAAGGTTGGGACAGGGGAAAAGAGAACAGGCCCCTCCTTCAAGGTGGGGTGCAGAAGGCCCATCCCAGCACCTCACAGTTGCTGCTTGGCATGAAATGCAGTAAGCAGTAGCCATCAGAGATCACTTCAGTATTCTGAGATTCCCAGAGACTGAGGCCTAGGAAATTTCAGAGGACACTGCAGGGAAAACGAGGCTGGGTGAAAGGTGGTGAGGGGAGGGAGGACATTCTCCTGTCTCTGAGGCCTCCTTCAGCTCCCCCTAACTGGCTTCCTATGGGAAGGGTGAGCTTGGCATGTGTGACCTTCAGACCTCTAAAAGGGAGGGAAACCAATGTTTCCTATGTGTTTATTGCATATAAAGTCCTCGGGTGTTTTATTACATCCAATGCCATGCAGCAGACCAGTATCCCCGATTCACAGATAAGAAAATTAAGGCTCGGCCAAGTGAAAGGAATAGCCCCAATTCAACAGCTAGAAGATGGCAAAGGCCAGGTGTGGTGGCTCACACCTATAATCCCAGCACTTTGGGAGGCCGAGATGAAAGGACTGCCTGAACCCACGGGTTAGAGACCAGCCTAGGCAACTTGATGAGACCTCATCTCTACAATAAATTTTTTAAAAATAGCTGGGCATGGTGGCTTGTGCCTGTAGTTCCAGCTACATGGGAGGCTGAGGTAGAAGGATCACCTGAGCCCAGCAGATAGAGGCTGTGGTGGCTGTGAGTGTGCCACTGCACTCCAGCCTGGGCGACAGAGTGAGACTCTGGGTCAAAAAAAAAAAAAGAAGGTGGCACAACTAGTGGACTGGTGAGGGAGGGATCCCACTAATGCTTCACAGCAGCCAGGGCTGGGGAGGTGAAGGCAGCATCAGACAAAGGGTGGCCCATGAATGTGATCCCAGCTGCTCCCGTGGGCAGGTCTCAGAGGACGCAGCAAACTCAGTTTGGAGGGGGGCCAGGGAAGGTGGGTCAACAGGCCCTGACCCACAGAAGGCAGCAGGATGTGACAACCCTGGTTCTCCCCCATGACTGAGTCCTCATAGTGAACTTAGAAAGTGAAGCAAATTCCTTCCCTCCCGGATTGTTCTCAGCTGGCCAAGTGAGGAGCTACCTAGTCCTAAGCTCTGCTGCATTAGATTCCAGCCAGGTAGTGAGACGGGGATACGAGAGGGTGGCTTGTATCCCTGAGCAGATGAGACTCAGAGGCCTGTGGGGAGAGACTGGAGATTCCCCACTGCTGCCACCTTGTCACCGTGGGAGTCCCCATTTCCTACCTCTCTCTCCTTTATCCCCAAAGCCAGCTGTAGCCACACACTGCAGCCCTGCTTACATGCATGTTTGCTCGGTCTCCTCACCATCCCTGTGGAGAGTTTCCCCTCCTGATTCTGTTCTTCAAAGTCCAGGTGTCCAGTTACCTCTCTCTCTCCTCACCCATTACCACAGCTGGCACACATTCCAGCTGTGCCCTTGGCAAAGAGCTTGACCCCCGAATCACCAAAGTTGTACCTTTCTGCTGGCCTCTCTGCATGAACCCAGAGCTCTCCCTGGCTCATGCAGTGGGGTCCGGGAGATCCTGCTCAGAGGACTGGAGAACCTATCCCCTTTCAGTGCACCACCCAATTCCTTTAAAGTCACCCCAGAGACACTTTACGCCCTGATTCCTCCAAGCACAAGAGCAGATGTCACTAAGCCACAAATGACACACATGGCATTTGGGATGAGGTCTCTGTCCATAAGAGCTATTTTGCAGACCCAGGGTTGCCATGGCAATACCAGGTACTTGTGACCTGAGGAGAAAAAATGGCTTGGACTCTGGTCCTGTGTGGGTGCCAAGGCCTGCACCAGCCTCTGGTGAGCAGAGAGTGGGAACAGGGAGAGGGCCTGGAGATGGTTTTGTTGGAGCTCGTGTCTGAGAGCAAAAGTGAGATGACTCAGAGCCCCAGGTGTTGGCCCCAGTTCTGCCACTAATGAGCTGTGTGACCCAGGGCAAGCCACTTTGCCTCCTTTGTCTCTGTTCTCCAACTGTCATTGGAGGTGAATGAGCTGTCCCACCTCACCCCAAATCCCTATCCTGGCATGGTGCCTACCAGAGAAGGTGCCCAGGAGAGGTTTGCTGCTCTGCAGAGCTCAAGGGAAGAGATGAGGGTAAAATCAGGTCATGGAGGAGGAAGCACACTGGCCTAAGTGCTGCCCAGGTGTCCAGAATCTGTGTTGTTGTCTTGGTTGTTTCATTTCATAACTAAGGAGCAGAAGGAAATCCATGTTAGATGTTCATTTACTTCCTCATTCATTCATTTGGCTCATTGAAAACACACATGTTGAGTACCTGCTGTCTGCTGGTCATTGTGTTAGGTTTAGGGTTGCTGAGATGAGGAAGATGTGGTCGCAGCCTTTGAGACACTCCCAGCTGAGTGGGAAGGAGACATGCCAGGGACAGGCAGGACCTCCAGAGCCATGCAGGCAGGAGTCAGGCCAGATCTTGGTTCAAACCATGGCTGAGAGGCCTGGGGAAATACTTAAGTACCCTGCACCTCAGGTTCCTCACCTTTAAGTGTGGAAGAATGATAGGGGCTACTTCACAGGGTTGATATGAAAGTTAACTAATAATTGGTAAAAAATGCTGGACATATAGTAAGCACCCAATAAGTGGTGGTATTTTTTTCCTCTTTTTTTTTTTTTTTTTTTTTGATTTCGAGTCTCACTCCATCACCCAGGCTGGAGTGCAGTGGCATACTCATGGCACCCCAGCATCAACCTGCTGGGCTCCAGCAATCTTCTGCCTCAGCATTCCAAGTAGCCAGAACTATAGGCACATGCTACTGCACACAGCTAATTTTTGATTTTTATTGTAGAGACGAGGACTCACCAATTTTGCCTGGGCTGGTCTCGAACCTGTGGGCTCAGGCAATCCACTCGCCTTGGCCTCCCAAAGTGCTGGGATTACAGGCTGAGTCACTGATGCTGGCCCAAGTGCTGGCCCAAGTGGTGGTTTTCAAGGACAATGGTTATTACAGGGGGTCCAGCAGAGATTCAGGCAAAATGCTGAGGGAGATAAGGGACAGAAGGATATGGTGTATCAGCACTCAGAGTAGTCCTGCAGGTGTCCCTGAAACCTCTTTGGTCTCTGAGGTAGCTTCCCATGGTTGTGCCTCAGTTTACCATCTTTCTTTACCCTCTCCCCCAGTAGAAGACTGTGAGACAAGGCTGGCCTCCCTGCAGCTGCACAAATGAGGACCCCATTCGTCTTGGGCATCCCCATACCAGCACCAGCATGTGTCCCCTCTATACACACAACTGGGCAGTGACTAGTGCAAAGCACGGTAACCGTAGGTGTGCCTGCTCAGCCTCCTTCCCTCCTCCTAAACCCTCCAGGCTTGGGCTCGTGACATCACCCGGGATATTGGGGCCATCCTAGCAGGCAGGCTCTGGGCCATCTCAGCTATACACAGCACAGGAAAAGTTCTTTTAAGGGATGGCATGCAGCTATGCCAGGCATCTTGCTGGGCATAGCTAGATGGATGATAAAGGAGGAGGAGGGGGGTTGTTTGCACGGGGACTGGTGAAGGGATTGGCAGAGAGCCCCTTCCCCACAGCTGCTGGCGGCTGGCTCTCCGGGTGGCTTGGTCCTAAGTGGAAGAACCCAGATCCCAGAAACTCTGGCGTGAGAAGGCTGGGCACAGGGTGGGCGGCATCCAAGAAGCTCTGGAAAGGAAACTTAAGAAAACATCACCCAGCAGCCCTCTCTAGGGACCAGACTCACTGGATACCACAGGCAGTCACAGGATGGCCACAAACCCTCAAAGGACTGAGGTTCCCCAGTGTTAACTCAGATTTTTCTCTTCCTGCCCCAACAATCTGGTCTCCAAGCATCAGCCCTCTTGAGGAGGCTTTTCCCAGTGGGGAGGCCAGAGCCCAGCACAACAGGGATTCTGGTTGGCTGAGCTCACCAGGCCTGTGTCCCTTGGTCGCTACAGGGTCTCCCTGGATGGGATCACTTGAGAAATCCTAGTTTACTGCCCCTCGTCCCTGCTGTGGCTCATCTCAGCTCAGAACTTCCTTCCCTCCCTCCTTCCTCCCCTGTGAGGTACTGAAGGGTCTGCTGTAGGCACCAGGAGGACTTGGGGGCTGCTCTCCCCCTCCTCAACCGTGCAAGCAGAAGCTGAGTGTGCACTGATGTCAGGTTCTCTCCTCCCCTCTTCTTCTCTCCCATCTCCTGTCTCCCCTCATTTCTCCCTTGCTCGCATCCTCGTCCATTAAATAATGCCGTGATGAATTGTAAAAGGTACTTAGCTGAATCACAGAGTTGAGAGATGGAAAAGATCAATTAGGTCATCAAGCCCATCTCTCTCCTGAGAAGATGCAGAAAATAGGAGACAACAATAAACAATTTTATTGGGATATTAATTTAGGCGCCTGAAGGCCATGACTTGTGTCTCTTAATATAATGCAGTAGATTTTTTTTCCCTTCCCTGCTAATGTAATCATGGGGCCATTTTGTCGGCAATTGGTTTGCCTGATGGCTTTTGCTTCCCTCCTTTTCCCACGGAAGGTCCAGCTGGAGTTTCGGAAGAGCTGGGAGCGCTGGCAGCTCGAACACTTGCATATCCAGCGGGACAGCAGCATGAAGCCCCTCAAGTGTCCCGCCAGCAGCCTGAGCAGTGGGGCCACAGTGGGCAGCAGCGTGTACGCAGCCACTTGCCAGGCCTCCTGCAACTAAGACTCAGATGCCCGCCTGCCCTATGTCCTTGCTATCCGTTGGGCGGCCATTCCGGGTGGGAGAGACCCTCCCAGGGACAGGGGAAGAAAGGGACATGCACACACATACATCTCTGCTTTTCCTCCCCAAACCCAACAGACAGACAGGCAAGTGGGCAGTGCCTCCCGGGATCAGGGACACAATTTCTCCAAAGAGAAGCGGCCTACTAATTTGATCACTGTGGCGGGAGGAGAGGAAAAAAACGATTGCTGTGAAAATGAGGAGGATTTCTTCCCATTAAGCCACAAGGCCCTTGGGGTTTCCCTAGACAGAGCAGCAAATCAACCCCAGACTCATACTCAAGGTCAATGGCTTGTTAGTGGGACTGGGGCTTGCAAGAGGAGGGAGGTCTGAAAGAAGCCCATATAACCTCAGCCAGACGCAGAACTGGGGTGACCGGAGCCGGTCATCTGCCTCCTATGAAAGGAAGCTGCTGTGTGTCTGGGTTGCCTGTTTCCCTCAACTTACCCCTCATCTCATCACCCAGTTTCTCATTATGGGGTTTGGTTTGGGCCACCACCACCAGCCTTTTCTGGAGATGTCTATGGATAGTGTTAAGAATAAGCATTGAAAAGAAACCTGAAGATTTCTTTGGCTGATGCTCCCTTCTTCCCTGGGTATCTGAGTTGCTCGATGCCTGCTTCTGCCATGTGCAGGAACCAGGGCAGGCTTGCCACCAAAAGGCCCAGCACCGGAGTTTAAGCTCCCAACTCTGTTTTGAAGATGCTCAAGGATCCTCTGGGGTTCATCTAGGAGTATGTTAGGAATGGCCACACTGCAGGTATAGATGACTTATCACCACTGAACCCAGAGGGCCAAGACAGCCACTGCTTCCACCTCTTCATGGAAATACTTTTTGTGACCAGATTCCATATCTCAAATGGAAGTTTGGGTGTGCCCTCTAACTTTAGGGGATATGACTCCTAGGGAAATCAACAGTCCCAGTAGTCACCATGGAGGTAGGCTCCCCGACCTCTGCAGCTCTCTCCCTTAAGAGCTTGTAAATACTTTATTCACTTTTCTTTATTGCTGGGAATAGTCTGTATGTGCAAATGTGCCATTCTGACCTCTCCCACCTGATGGAAACAAGAACAAAATCATAGTTGTTGTGCTGTTGTTTGAAGGGATGGATAGTGATTGATTTGACTCGCCCACACTTTGAGCTAATTAAAGTTTGCCCTGCCTCCAGCCTTGTCCCATAAATAATGAGCAGCAGAAAGCCTGGATGGAGAAAACCTATCCATCCTGCCCCTAGCCCTGGGGAGGAAGTATTGAGAACACACAGCAGCACTGCAGAGACGCAGACAGAAGGGGGACAGTCATCCTGGGGAAGCTGGCAGTGAGTTCTTAGGTGCAAATGAAGTCTCCACAGAGCAAGAGAAAACTCTTGGAGTCAGGACCTTCTGAGGGGGTAGGAGAGGCTTCTAAAGATTCCTTTATGAGTTGATCTCTCCGTCTTTTTTTTTTTTTCTGAATTGGAGTCTCTCTCTGTTGCCCAGACTGGAGTGCAGTGGCATGCTCCTGGCCACTACAGCCTCGACCCACTGGACTCCGGCGATCTTTCCGCCTCAGCCTTCCAAGTAGCTGGAACTACAGGCACGCACCACCACGCCCGGCTAATTTTTTGATTGATTGTAGAGATGAGGTCTCGCCAAGTTGCCCAGGTGGGTCTCAAACCCGTGGGCTCAGGCAATCCACTCACCTTGGCCTCCCAAAGTGCAGGATTACAGGCTGAGCCACAGAGCCCGGCCTCTCCATCCTTTTTAAATGATGGGGAGTCCTCCTCGAAGCCTTACTCCAGACACATTCTCCTGTGCCCCTCAGAGGGGCATGTGATGTGCAGGGAAAATAATGATGGGACATAAAACACACCAAGCAGAAAATTTCTTAGACTTCAGCTTCAGTGAAGTGTTGTCTATGTTAATAGGAAAGTTGAACCTCGGGCTAAAGAATGGAATTGTGCAGACGGCCTCCTTCCCAGAGACAACGTGGGTGGGAGGCATCCCTGCCTCCCCAGAACAAGGGCAAGCTTCCCTATGGCACTGTGCATTCGCTTTCTCTTTGGGGAGGGAGATGAGCTTCCAGGAGTTGATGTGGGGTATACTCTGATGCAAGTGTTTTCTTTGGATAAACTGAAGATTTTGAGACTCATTAGTATATCACACAGCAACAAAGAAAGAGATAGATTGCTGTAATCTATGTGAAATAAATTGTTGAGGGGAGGAATTGTAGGAAAGAAAGTGCTTAGGCCCCTGGGAAGTGCAGACAATTTGACTGAATTGGTAAGTAGAGTTCTCTTCCCAACTGGAACTGGTGATCCCAATTTCAGAAGGCTCATCACACCTCCACACCAAGCCTTTTAACATACCAGCTACTGAACTGAAGGAATCTTTTATTTGTTCCAACCCCCCACCCCCACCCCTGTGCCATTAATATTTATTTGAAAGGCACTGCACTCCCTCCTAGCTACTCCCAAACTTGCCTAAGCTAAATATAGCTGCAGCAGGTCTGGGAACGATCGAATGCAGTGTACTCAGATTCCACAAGCTGTTCAGGCGCCTGATGCCATGAGTCTGGCGCTTGCTGGGAACTTTGTTTCGGCTGCCTTCATTCTGGGGTACCACTGCCTACCAGCAGAATGTCAGTGCTGCTTTGGTTTGAGCTTTATAGCCAGCAAGGTCTGCCGGCTGTGGTGAACAGCATCTGAGTTCAGCACTCTGGTCAGCTTCCTCAGACCTGTTAGGGGCTTAAATCTTGTTCATTCCTCTTTGCCATTTTGGTCTTTGGAGCAGCTAATCACAGGACTGAAACAAACTGCAAAATACAAACAAACTGAAAGGTTGCCTTTCCTTTAAAAACTTTCAGGGTTGTAGGCATGATTTCGATTGTTTCAGTGCACCTCACCCTGAAGACCCCATAAATGGAGTCCTGAGAGACTCGGAGCAGAGAAAGACTTTGGTCATCCCTCCTGGCCTGATCAACAGGATGGAGGAGTAAGGCTTGCATAGGTGACTTGCCCAAGGTCACAGTGATAGATGGTGGTTGAGCTGGGCCAGGAATCAGGCCAGTCCTTCCCTCCCAGTGCAGTGAGGCCTCTGGGAAAGATAGGTTAAAAAGTATAAATGGCTATTCAAGATACTCTAAGTAAAAATGGTAGTGTTATCTGGAATTCCTACGGAAGAGAAAATAGCCGTTAAGGTAGACACATCAGATGGTGAAAGTGTCAACTCCTTGGTAAATTATACTAGGGAGAAGAGAGGATATACTTTACTATTTCTACTCTGGCACCTCCTTGTCTTAAAGAAAAGAAATACATCAGAACCAACACATAGGCATAGAACCAGCTCCAGAGCCATTTTGGATAGCAATTCCAGCCCTCTCTCAATGGGTTGGCTTAATTTTTTTTCTGATGCATTTGTGTTTGTTTGGAAAGTTGCACTGATGAAGTATAGTGAAAAGAACCCAAAAGAAGTTCTTGGCCTTCCGTTTACCTCTTTAGAACTCTGTGATTTTGGAGAAGGCTAGTAAATTGGGCAGCTGTAGCCTAGCAAAGACGGCTCAGTGCCACCAAGGACAAATAGAGTCAACTCCCATCCATGTCCTGAAGGTCTCAGCCATCCTCATCAGGGTTGGCCATGGTCCAGCAGCTCACAGGTAGGAGACCTCCTGTCCTATCCCTCCTGTGTGCGTGTGTGTGTGTGCATGTGTGTGTGTGTCCCATGCATAGCAGCATAAAGTTAGTGGATGATGAATCCAGAATCATCACACCCACTGTGAAGGTCACAGGACTGCACAACCGAAGGCGAGGTTGGCTGGGATTCTAAGTGGTAGATGCTTCCTCTCCATGCACAGACAGGGCTCCCATTATTGCTAATGCCTGCGACGTGCTTGGAGAAGGCAAAATATATTCTGAAGCTTTATTTTCCCTCTGCTGAATTGATTCTAATCTACCGCGCTGACCCAGCTTTTGGCTCCTATGAGGCAAACTATAAAAATTCTCAAATAAAATATAGAGTTTACTCTACTAAGACAGTTATGTGAATGACATGCTAAATATTCAGCAGAAACCAAATGAGTATTGTAAGGTAAATGAAACCAGACCAGGCGAAACGGCAACAAAGGAGCCAAGAAAACTTTATTAGTGCAAAAATCCTGGGCGAAGTTCACCGGCCCATGTAGCTGTGGGCCAGAGAAGTCGCGCCCAGCAAGATGGGCGACGGGTTTATAAAGGGCACACTGAGAAAGCTGTGATGGGGTTGGGGAGAGCAATCACTGGTTGGGACAGCTGTCACATCTGCTGGCGATTGGGTGAACAGGGTTGCTAGAGTCGCTGTTAACAGGTACTGGCTGGCTTTGTGGCTGGAGTCTTAGTTCCGGTCACTCATTTTTGCTAGCTCACTTTCACCCATTGTTCTCCTGGTCTGGGTTGGAGCCATCTTGTTGAGGCCCGCCCCCACCTCTGGTGCCTCGGGCCTTACAAGTATCAACTCTAACTTTCTCCTGCCTTTTTTGCTGCTGGAGTGAGTGCCCTTGGGAAAGAAAATGACCCAATGTGAGACATTTCTGCCAACAACATGACCATGCTCCCAAGCTGTCACCTGTGGGCCCAAACCAGCTCTCTGGCCCTGCCAGGGCTGTATCAGGAAGCGTTGTTAAGCAGTACAATTTCAGACACTTTCCTTAATGCCACAGTGTGTCTACAGTAGCTATAATTACTTCTACTTTGTCAATGGATGCTGGCAGGAAGCAGATAAGCATAATTGTTTTCAATAACTCCCAAGTCTCTTGGACTTTGCCTGTATCTGAATCCTTCAGAGGGGAGAGTTTTCTCTCCTCCCCTTTGGCAGTTTTAGCCACTGTTTTCCAGGACCTTCTTATCTGGCGGTGGCTGCATTTTCCCTCTGCCACGTCCAGCCTCCCTCCCCACACTCCTCCCCCCTCCCAGGAAGAGGTGACCCTGCTAGCCATACTGGGAATGCTGTTCTCTCAGCCATGACCAATTTAGGGGTGCAGCTGAGAGTGAGGCGCTGCC